GACATATATGTACATGCCATCCTTAGCTGTATCAGGTTAAATATACTGAATACACTAATTTTCACATAATAATGACAAGTATTTTCATCCTGATTACTGTTGAAAAAAATCCTATTCATATGAAATTTGTAATGAAGGATAAAAAGTTTGGGAAACCTATTTTCACTAAATATACAACTATACTTGCATAAAGGTCTAAAATAATTATAATAAAATAATTTGAAAGTTGTATGTGTAAAATTTTTCATAAACTAAAAATGGTTAGACATCACAGCTGATCATTTGATGACTAATCTCATGCCTAAGCTAACCAAATCTCATGCATAACTAATCTCATCAATTCATAACCAATCCTAACCAATTCCTACCAGTCTAATCTCAATCTAACCTAACCAATGGATCTGGGTGTCTTGGGCTCACACGGAAACCAAAATCTGGGCTTTAGGCTTCCTTGTGCGGTGCGTCTCTCATGCATTTCATACATGCTATCAAGACTTCTTGCCTCTTCTTTGCAACTCCATTTTTTAATCATTTGACAAGAAAAGAAATATCAAGAAAAGTAAAAATGATACCAACCCTTAGAGCTGTAAAAGCAATTACAAAATCTAATACCTATAATACCAATAATACTAATACTAATACCAATACTACTACTATTAATAATAATAAAAATAATGATCATAATAATAATAACAACAAAAAAAACAATAAAAATAACAACAATAATAACAATAATAATAATTATTATGATAATCATCATCATAATGATAATCATAATCATAAACAATAATCATCATCAATCATCATCATCATCATCATCATCATCATCATCATCATCATCACATCATCATCATCATCCATATCATCATCATCATCATCATCATCATCATCATCAATCATCATCATCATAATAATAATAGTAATAATAATAAATAAATAATATAATAATAATAATAATAATATAATAATATAATAATAATAATAATAATAATAATAATAATAATAATAATAATAATAATAATAATAATAATAATAATAATAATAATAATAATAATAATAATAATAATAATAATAATAATAATAAATAATAATAATAATAATAATAATAATAATAATAATAATAATAATAATAATAATAATAATAATAATGATAATAACATTAGGAATACTAAAAATACTGATAACAATGAAGATGATGATAAAGATGATAAAGATAATGAAGTTGTTAATGATGACAATGATGATGTTGATGATGGCATGTACGTACAAGTCATGACCACTATGCCATGAGTTTAGTTTACTAATTCTCCTTCATGTTTGGAAATATTTTCTTTTATCTTAAACTGCTATTTGTAATGCTGATGACATTATCATACATATAATGTCAATAATAATAATTACAGCATCTATATTGATAGCATTTGTAAAAAAAAAAAAAAAAAAAAAAAAAAAAATGGTGGAAAGGTGGAATCAGGTGAGGTCACGAGGTCTACTAATTGACACCTTAGCAGCAGAGCAATTGTGAACACATCTACGGGGAGAAAACATTTCACAAAATATATAGTGTACACTACATTTTCCTGACGGCATTTAGTTAACAATATAATTAACGTTTTTTTGAGGAAAATAATGTAATACTAATATGGATGATGATAATAACTATTTTATAATTACTAAAAGAATACAGTAACAATGACATTAAATATAAAATTACAAAGATCTACCTTTTAAACTCGAAGCAAATTCTTCCACTTTATTCCAATAGGTGGTCTTGTCAAAACAGATATTCACGTCTGAAAAAAGTACTTGACATTAATATTGTTATAATGATAATATTGAACTATTACCGTTACAATTACAATTTCTATCCTTACCATTCTCATTGCTTTATAATTATTCTGAGTGTTGTAATGAATTAAAATTTATAAATCTGATCAAATAAGTAATGTGATATATACAAATAAATAAGGATATGCATGAAGAAACCATCACAGGCATCAGTGACCTATAACAAATACTTGAAATGATAAATGGCAACTACTTGACAAAGAAAGTAATGAAATCAAGCAAAACAGGCATACTTACATCAGAACAGCTAAGACACAGACTCTGGTGTTGCATGCTTTACAGCACCTGCAGGCTCTGTAGTGGCAGGATTGCAAGGCCTCTAAAAAAGAAAAAAGAAAATATGAAGAACTAGTACTGTCACTATTATAAAATCAATAGTTACGGATAACTATTCTAAACCAATGAACTTTTGCTTATAAAACCAATATTTGACAGCATAAGAATTTCAGCATTGCAAGGCCTCTAAAAAAGAAAAAAGAAAATATGAAGAACTAGTACTGTCACTATTATAAAATCAATAGTTACGGATAACTATTCTAAACCAATGAACTTTTGCTTATAAAACCAAGATTTGACAGCATAAGAATTTCAGCATTGCAAGGCCTCTAAAAAAGAAAAAAAGTAAACATGAAGAACTAGTACTGTTACTATT